AGAGATGAGGTCCTCAGGAAGCAGACCCGCCCGCTGCTGTGTCCGAGCATCGGCCGCATGATGAGCGCGGCAGGACACTTGAAAAGCATTCCAGCGCATCAGCGCGACCGACAAACACTGCCCCCAATGGTTCATGACACCCTCATGAAAAAATGCACGGTCTTCTGCAGAGCTGGCGGGTGGGGGGACGCGCCGCTGCGCCAGACGGCGAAGCAGAGTGGGAGACGGAAGAGCACTTGACCATCTGCAATGGGAACTGACAGAGTACGCGTCTTTTTGATCACCTGCAACGATGGCAGCCAGCACGGCTGCCTGAAACAGGGGCATCGAGGCCGCGAACCTTGGAGGGGGGGATCTAAGCAGTCGCCAGACTCCGTGAAACGCTCTCTCGGAGATCTGACCTCAAATCCGCTCCAATCGCTCCCAGCCAAGGCTGCTTAGCTTTCTCTGAGCATTCACCGCTGATTTTCCACTCCGCAAGGACGGACCGAGCGCTCAGACAAAGCCATGGCGCTGCGCCTCTCCCTCTCGCTGCTCCTCGTCCTCTCCTCATCAGCCGCCATCCTCGTGCATGCCAGGCTGCCGTCATCACAACCACCAGCAGCAGCGGAACCTGATGGCGGCAAGGTTCTCCCGATGGCGTGGCCCGAGGTGTTCCATGCCTTAATGGTGCAGCAACGCGGCGGCGTGCCGGGCGTGACGGACCTCTACTATGGTGCGTGAGACGACACAGAGATGGACGACGCAGGCGGACATGATCATTGATGCTTTTTTTGTCTGCTGTCGGCGCGTCGGGCAGATTGGCCGAACCGCAGGAATCTGCACGTCATTCGCTTGCAGTATCAGAGCACTCTGTACGACAACGAGCGGCAGGGATACGGGGCGTACTATCACCCTACTGAAGGTCAGTCGGTGCGACACACAGTGCAGCACCGACACACCACACACATTCATTCCTCGTGTCTGCCTTCCTGCCTTCCCTGGATGCAGGCACGTGTTTCGTGATCGATTTCCAAGGCGTTGGCATCCTCACGCCCGACTGGCTGGTCGACAACTCGACCTACCTGGGCACACAGGCCGTCAACAACCGCACCTGCCACACATGGATGAAGGGCGACAGCATGGACCCAAACCGACCTGGCCCCTTCCTCCACTACTGGGAGGACGTCCACACGCGGCTGCCCGTGCGATGGCAATTCTTCGACGGCATGAGCTTCGACATCATCCAGTGGCATGCGGGCGAGGCGGCGAGTGAGGCCGTGTGGGCCATCCCGCCCTACTGCCCCAACATGACGACGACCGAGGCCCTGGCAGGAAGAGATCCGACACGTGTGGACGAGCATGTCTTCTATCGGAAGCTGGGAGGCGGTTCGGCGCTTGTGCGCTTGTTGCATGAAGGGGGAGGGGGGAGGCAGTCTATGTGTGAGGGCGCGAGGGACTGCACTCAACGAATGGATGGATGGAGAGGGAGAAGCGGACTGCTGGGGACGCGTAGTCGCCTGTCTGTATAAGCGATTGCTTCCATAGGTCTTCTTGACGTGTGTCTGTGAGTTCCTGCGTGCATTTTTGTACGTCGTTTTCCTTAGGTGTGAGAGGTATGTATGCTGTCGGAGTGTGGAGATACTCAGACACGATGCCTTCAATGCTTCCGTGTTCGAAATGCATGCACTGGCATGAGCGCTTACACCCGATGCACTCAATGCATCAGTCAGTCAGGCAGTCACATCTTCCCTCAATCCCTACTCTGTCCACTCGATCGTTGCCCGTCAAAAGGAACGGAGAATCACTCCATGCACACGGCGGTCCATCG